CTGTAGTTCCAGCTACTTGGGAGGCTGAGGCAGGAGACTTGCTTGAGCCCAGGAGTTGGAGGTTGATGTGAGCGTGATGCCATGGCACTCTACCCAGGGGACTAGCTTGAGGCTCCGTCTCAAAAAAAAAAAGAACACCAAAACCCCCCCAGAAAATCGGGCAGCACCTATGGCTCAGTGAGTAGGGTGCCAGCTCTATATACTGAGGGTGGTGGGTTCAAACCCGGCCCTGGCCAAACTGCAACAAAAAAATAGCCAAGCATTGTGGCAGGTGCCTGTAGTCCCAGCTCCTCGGGAGGCTGAGGCAAGAGAATCGCCTAAGCCCAAGAGCTAGAGGTTGCTATAAGCTGTGATGCCACAGCACTGTACTGAGAGTGACAAAGTGAGACTCTATCTCTAAAGAAAACAAAAAACAAAAACCAGAATATCATTTTGCTACCAGTGAGAAGTAGACAGAAACAATATTTACTGGGGAAGAAAATACCCATGCTATCACATCAAGGCCTGAAAATAAAGTTTTGGATTATTTTCAGCCTCTTCACTCCGTGACTGCAGAGAATGCTGAGTGTGCTTGGATATGAGGCTGTAAAGTTCTTCTTTTTTTTTTTTTTTTTAAAGATAGAGTCTCATTATGTCACCCTTGGTAGAATGCCATGGCGTCACAGCTCCCAGCAACCTCAAACTCTTGGGTTTAGAGGCTGTAAAGTTCTAAGTGATGCCCTGCAGCCCTCACACCTGGTTTGTTATAGTGAGAGCTAGGGTTCCTGTGATGGGCAAGCATCAAAACCCCTGGCCACAGCTATTGGTACGGTTTTTATAAAAACAGCACCTACCTTTGTGCCCTGAAGAAATTGTGCAGCAGTCTGGGCGTCAGGATTCCTGGGCTCTAGGACCCACAGGTGACTCACAGCCAGCCCTGGGCTATGTTTCCAGGCCTCGGTTTCCCTGGCTTGCTCTGTGGATACTCCCCACCTACTGTGGAGGTGTTAATAGGGGTGAGGTGCTTTGAAGTCCTCAGATGAAAGAGGCTGGGAAGCAGCACCCAGTTATTACCCCGTATGTAGCCAGGCGTGGGAGCTGCGGTTGGCAGCCTTTCATACTATTCCAGCCGCAGTAACCTCCTCACAGCCCCTCACTCTTTGGCCTTCAGTTCTGGCTGCCAAAACTGGAATGCAAACTTCAACCATCCCTGTTTCAATGTTGTTTCAGAACAGATTTTCCTAAACCGAATTCACCAACTGCCCCAAACTACCAGTGACCTATCTTTCCCTTGACTTATGATTCAGGAATATTTTTCAGGTGCCTAAATTTTCTCCTGACTGGCTACAAATCCTGTGGGATAAAGGCTGTGACTCTTCACCAGTAAGTATACCAAAGGAGGGATACTCACAATTCACTCAGCGAAGTGGGTTACGAGAGTCAGGCTGACAGAAGTTCAAATCCTCAACTTCTGAGGATCACTGAACAAGTGATGGCTTAGTAATAGTCCCCATCTTGTCTTTCTCTTATGAGGAAGTGTATGGAAACACTGTGCAAAATGCCAAGCCCTTCATTACGTGTTGTGTTGTTAAAAGGCCTGAATATCTGCAAATAGGACTTTTGGCACAACAGTCTTCCCTAGGCCATCAGTCCCTCTCCTTCTGCCACCAGATTACAACTGTACAAAAAATTAAATCTAGGACGCCACCTACTGGTTGAAAATATGAAGTGCATATGGCCAGTTGCAAAAGTAAAGCCAAACCCCAGTATTTCCCACCCAACTTCAAGCCATCTTAATTTTTGCCACAACCTCATAACTGTCATATTATATACTTAATTTCTCTAAATAACTCACTTTAGAGACATATAAACACTTTCATTTTTGAAATAAACTTTATTCACTACTATAAACGGGAAACTAGTGAATAACAAAAATTGAACAAAATCATAAAATAAATACAATGCAAATAAAACATTGAGAAAGTCTAGCTAGAAGTGTTGCCTGTGAAGGCTTGAGCTTGAGGTTCACTATTAAAACTGAAGACTGCCTACTGCAATGGCATGCCTGCACTCCCAGCTACTGGGAAACTGAGGCAGGAGTTCAGATCCAGCCTAGCAAGACCATTTATTTTTTGAGACAAAGTTTCATTTTGTCACCCTCAGTAGAGTGCTGTAACATCATAGTTCACAGCAACCTCTAACTCTTGGGCTTAAGTGATTCTCTTGCTTCAGCCTCCCAAGGACCTGGGACTACAGGCGCCTGCCGCAATGCCCGGCTAGTTTTTTGTTACAGTTATTTACCTGGCCCGGGCTGGGTTTGAACTTGCCACCTTGGGTGTATGTGGCTGGCGCTGTAACCACTGTGCTACAGGCACCGAGCCAGCAAGACCATTTCTAAAAAAAATAAAAACTGAAGCCAAAAACTGAATATTAATAAAAATGCACCACCAAAGACTGAGTGTCAATCCTCTACTGATGGACCCTGTGCTTTGGGGAAGCACTGATCTAGATGAAGAAATAGGACTCTTGTGAGGGGAAATTCCCTTGTTCTGCCCCAACTGCCTGGGCCTGGAGGATTGAAGAAAAGTTTGGAAGCCACAAAAAAGTAGAAAAGAAAGTCTTGTATTGCAGTGCATTCATTCCATCACAGCCTGAATGGAACCAGTGCTCAACATCCTGATGGCAGGGCCAGTTGTTCATGGGCACCACTGTGTGTGGTGGGTGTTCTGCTTGGTGCCACATCTGTCTTTTTGACCAAAAGTCCTTTGCAGAGCCAGGTAACCTCTTGCCAGCCTCTCAGCTCTTGCTGGACTTGCTCCTGAGTCTGCAGCTTGCTGAGCTGTCCAGTGCTCACCAGGAGCCTCCACTTTCTCCATGGCCGGGTTATGCATCCTGCTCTCCGTGGCCCAGCTGCTGCTATAGCTGCATGGCTTCCTGCTCCACTGACTGGTCCGAGGGTGCCAAGTACTTCTCCTGGATGCCCAGTGTGCTGAGGGAGGATGTCTCAAGGCAGATAGCACAGGCAGAGAATGGGGAACTGGTCTGGGCAGGATCTGACCTTTATTGATGCTACCCCTCCAATCATGTCTGGCAAACTCCTTCCATCCCTCTCTCTTCCTCAGTTATAGCTTCAGGACATAAACAGGGACCAATTGGGTATAAGAAGTCTCCAAAAGCACCCAGACCCAAATGCTCCTATATTTGCTTCTTCCCCACATTGCTGAGGATTCAAGAACCAAGAGAGTGCTAACCTTCCAGCTTTGTTATGGCACACAGTCCGAAGCCAGACCAAGAGGGTTCAAATCTCGAATCTGTCACTTCCCTTTTCTCATCTATAAAACATCTTGAGAATTGTTTTGAGGATTTTTTTTTTTTTTTGAGACAGAGCCTCAAGCTATCCCCCTGGGTAGAGGGCCGTAGCATCACAGCTCACAGCAATCTCCAACTCCTGGGCTCAAGCAAGTCTCCTGCCTCTGCCTCCCAAGTAGCTGTGACCACAGGTGCCCGCCACAACGCCCGGCTACTTTTTGGTTGCAGCCATCATTGTTGTTTTGGCGAGCCAGGGCTGGATTCGAACCCATCACCTTAGGTGTATGTGGCTGGTGCCTTAGCCACTTGAGCCACAGGCGCTGAGCCTGTTTTGAGGATCAATTGAGACAAATGAATGTCAACTGTCTAGCAAGGTACCTGGCACACAGTAGGTGTTCAATTAATGCTGTGACCTCTCTTTTTCTGCAAAGAGGGGGAAGCTTAAAGAAAATGAAAAATTTTGGCTATGAGTGGTGGCTCACGCCTGTTATCTTACCACTCTGGGAAGCTGAGGCAGGTGGATTGCCTGAGCTCACAGGTTCGAGACTAGCCTGAGACAGATAGAGAACTCATCTCTAAAAATAGCCAGGCTTTGTGGTGGGCACCTGTAGTCCCAGCTACTTGGGAGGTACTCTACCAAGAGTGGCAAAGTGGGACTCTGTCTCAAAAAAAATAAAATAAGGGTGGCGTCTGTGGCTAGAAGGAGTAGGGCACGGGCCCCATATACCAGAGGTGGCAGGTTCAAACCCAGCCCCAGCCAAAAAAACAAAAAGAAAAATTTCTTCTTGGGTCATAGAGTGCCTCCTCTCTCTGGGACAGCAGGAAAATGGAGCTGGAAGGACAAATCAGATTCATACAGGAAAAGCCAGTGACACTGTGGATGGAGTCCTGTGAGGCTGGCCAGCCTGATGTTTGGATCTGAGGTCTAACTAGGAGATGGATGGAGGTTGGACAAAGCTAGGACACCATCACTGTGATACTAGATGACTTCAGTGTCAGAAACTGAGATGCCATACCCAGGGAGACCTGAGTTTGGACTGTTCTTCCTGGGACAGGGACCTTAGGCCTGTTGGAATGAGGATTAAGACACTGCAAGTAGCCAGGCACAGTAGCTCACATCTGTATTCTAGCACTCTGGGAGGTCGAGGTAGGTGGACTGCTTAAGCTCAGGAGTTTGAGACGAGCCTGAGCCAGAGTGAGATCCTAGTCTCTACCCAAGATACAAAAACTGAGGCTGGGCACGGTGGCTCACACCTGTACTCCCAGCACTTTGGGCGGCCAAGGCAGGTAGATTGCCTAAGCTCAGGAGTTTGAAACCAGCCTGAGCAAGAGCAAGACCCCGTCTCAAAAAAAAGACAGTCTCATTATGTCACCCTCAGTTGAGCACTGTTGCATCACAGCTCACAGCAACCCCAAACTCTTGGGCTTAAGCGATTTTCTTGCCTCAGCCTCTCAGTGGCTGGGACTACAGGTGCCCACCACAACACCTGGCTATTTTTTTGTTATTGTTGCCATTGTTGTTTAGCAGGCCCTGGCCAGATAGGAACACACCAGCCCTGGTGCATGTGGCCAGAGCCCTAACCACTGAGGCTACGGGCGCCGAGCCTACTGTTCACTTTTCCTTAGAAGATACTGAATTAGCCTGAAGGAACACTCAGGATCAATGGAATCCATCTTGTCTGTCTTGGCCCACATCCCTGAGCAGGGCACATGAGCCCTGCATTCTACCTGCCCACCAGTATGGCGCTATTGCTGCTTCCCAGTCAGAAGCCCTACCCTGCCCAAAAGTCATGACATCCTACCTCCAACTGTTATATTATATACTTAATATTTTTCTTGAAACAACTCACTTGGTATAGATAATTTCTTTCTTTCTTTTTTTTTTTTGAGACAGTCTCACTCTCACGTCCCAGGCTAGAGTGCCATGGCATCAGCCTAGCTCATAGCAACATCAAATTCTTGGGCTTAAGCAATCCTCTTGCCTCAGCCTCCCAAGTAGCTGGGACTACAGGTGCCTGCCAAAGTACCTGGCTAATTTTTTCTATTTTTGGTAGAGATTGGATCTTGTTCTTGCTCAGGCTGATCTCAAACTTCTGAGCTCAAGGGATCCTTGCACCTCAGCCTCCTACAGTGTTAGGATTACAGGTGTGAGCCACCGCGCCTAGCCTAATCATTTCATTTTTGAAGTAAACTTTTAATCACATCTATAAGTAGAAAACTAGTTAATACTTGCCAAAAATAGAACAAAATCATAAATAAACACCATGAAAATAAAATCACTAACAAGGCGTAGCTAGAAGTGTTGCCTCCTGTGAAGGTTCACTGTTAAAACTGAAGATTTAACAACCTTGTCTCAACAACCAAACCTGTCTCAACTTAGAACTCTCATACCTTTACATATACTATTTTTTTTTGAGACAGAGTCTCACTTTGTCGCCCTTGGTAGAGTGCTGTGATGTCACAGCTCACAGCAACCTCCAGCTCTTTTTTTTTTTTTGAGATAGAGCCTCAAGCTGTTGCCCCTGGGTAGAGTGCTGTGATATCCAGCTCACAGCAACCTCCAACTCTCCAGCTCACAGCAACCTCCAACTCCCTGGGCTCAAGTGATTCTCCTGCCTCCACCTCCCAAGTATCTGGGACTATAGGTGCCCGCCACAATGCCTGGCTACTTTTTGGTTGCAGCCGTCATTGTTGTTTGACAGGCCTGGGCTGGATTCAAACCTGCTAGCTCAGGTGTATGTGGCTGGCGCCTTAGCCGCTTGAGCCACAGACACCAAGCCCGAACTCCAGCTCTTGCACTTAGGCGATTCTCTTGCCTCAGCCTCCCGAGTAGCTGGGACTACAGGCGCCAACCACAACACCTGGCTATTATTTTTGTTGCTGTTGTTGCTGCAGTTTAGCCAAGGCCAGGTTTGAACCCACCACCCTTGGTGTATGGGGCTGGTGCGCTACTCACTGAGCCACAGGCGCAACCCGGCATATACTATTCTCTCACTCTCTTTTTATTTTGTCACCTTAGATAGAGTGCCTCCTGAGTAGCTGAGACTACAGGCACCCACCACAATGCCCGGCTAGTTTTTCTATTTTTAGTAGTAATGGGGTTTTGTTATTGCTCATGCTGGTCTCCAACTCGTGAGCTGAAGCAATCCACCTGCTTCAGCCTCCTGAAGTGCTAGGATTAAAGGTGTGAGCCATCACACCCAGCATGCTATCCTTTGACTTCAATTCCCTTTCCTTCTTCAGCAGCCTAGCTAACCCTCACTTTGAGATGATGCAACTCAAACACCATGCCTCCATGAAGCTGTCCTTATCCACCCACCCCTCAACAGCACTGACCACTTCCTTTTTTGTAACAGTCCCTATTCTCTCATATATAGAAGGAACTTGTACCTTAAGAGGAATGAGGGTCCATTAAGGTTAAAAATACCCTTGTAAATTCTTTGAATCATTGGTCCTGCTTCACACATGGCCTCTGTGATCTGACACTCAGCCATGACCTTGGTCCCAACCCTCACCGCTCACTAACCCAGCTCCAAAGGATCTAGCTGCTGCCTGGACAGCCCCGGATGTTCCATGGCCCCCTTGAACACATCACATTTACTGGCTGCCATCCATTTGACGAACATACCTCCTCTTCTTCGTGCACCTGTGACTACCATGACCACCCACCCCATTGTCTAAGCCAGAGACCTAGGAGGCTAAATTATGCTCCATCTTTGCTGACTCCTATAGTTTATCTCCTTAAAATTTTTCCCATCCACACCATTCTTTCATATTCTTACTACAAATGTTTTATCCCTTCTCATCCAGTAAGAGCGAAAAACTCTCCTGCCCCCAATTATATCCTTTGCATACACTTTCCACACTTGGCAGAGGCTTTTCTAAAATGCGCATCTGGACTACGTTATGCACTATTCAACAGTACTCACTGACCGCTGGTTCCCACTGCCACCCATGAGCTGAAGTCCACAGTCCTTAACAGGGCCCTGCCTACTGCCCCACACCCCTTTATATGCAACACACCAAACCGAACTTCTTGCATCTCTCCTAAATGACCAATGCCCCCTTATTTCTGGGCCTCTGTACTTGTTGCTCCTGCTGATCAACAGCCTCTCCTGTCAGTACGTCCCACCCTGAAGGCATCTATCCTTTGCAGATGAAAGACCAGGGGCCCAGCTGGTCAGTATGAAGTCCAGTCATCCACAAAGGTAGTCACTGTACTTCTGATAGCCATTCCTGAGCCCTATGTGTCACCCTCCTTTTTAGGACCAGGAAGCAGGTTAGGCTAGAGAGCAAGGATACGAGGAGAAATGGAAGTCTGCTCCCACTGCGGCAGACATCATGGCCTCCAGGCTTCGCTGCTCTTGGACCCCAAAACAGTAGCCATTGGCTTTATCCACAGCCTGCAGGACTCGCTGAACACTCTCCTTGTCCTGTACGATGAGGAAAGAAATAGGCATGAATGAAACAGGTGTGTCGTTCCAATCTCTAACTACAGCCTCCTCCATGCTGCCTCTGTAAATGGAGCTTCCTTGGCCTGGAGTTCTCCAGAGGCCAGGCTAAATTCCATCTTGCCTGACACCAACCCACCCAGATTAGACTAGGTAAGCTCCTCTATGCACACCCACAGTCCCCTGGGTTTATCCCTACTGTAGATGGCCCTACAGAGACTATGTCTACCTTCTTTTCTTCTTCTTCTTTTTTTTATAGAGACAAAGTCTCATTTTATCACCCTTGGTAGAGAGCTCACAGCAACCTCCAACTCCTAGGCTTAGGTGATTCTCTTGCCTCAGTATCCTGAGCTGCTAGGACTACAGGTGCCCGCTACAATACCCAGCTATTTTTTTGTTGCAGTTTGGCCAGGGCTGGGTTTGAACCCACCACCCTCGGTATATGGGGCTGGCACCCTACCCACTGAGCCATAGGCGCCACCCTATTTCTACCTTCTCATGAATGCCTATTAACTCATCTGCTTCGCCTACTTGACCAAGTACCCCTAAAGTTCAGGGACTCATTTGTCAATGCTTGGCACAGTACTACTCTTAAGTAGACAACCAAAAAATACAGATGTTATTTAACCTATTACTGTTTCCTCATCCACATATAAACAGCCCATACACACAGTGAGGACAAATCAAAATAATGCACGTACAGTTCTTAGCACAGTGTCCAGCAAAGAAAGCCATGAATAAGTAGTAGGTTTTTTTTTTTGACACAGAATCTTACTATGTCACCCTCGGTAGAGTGCTGTGGTGTCCCAGCTCACAACAACCTCAAACTCTTGGGCTTAAGTGATTCTCTTGCCTCAGCCTCCCAAGTAGCTGGGACTACAGGCGCCTGCCACAACGCCCCACTATTTTCTTGTTGCAGTTGTCATTGGTATTTAGCTGGCCTGGGACGGGCTCAAACCTGCCAGCCTTGGTGCATGTAGCTGGCGCTGTAACCACTGTACTATGGGTGCCAAGCCTTAAGTAGTAGTTGTCCTAATTAAAATTATAGAGTTCACTTTCTATTAGAGGAGAAAAGCATAGCATTTAGAAAGGGAGAGATCTGGCTTGGCACCTGTAGTTCAAGCAGCTAGGGACCAGCCACATACACCAGAGCTGGTGGGTTTGAATCTAGCCCCGGCCCACCAAACAATAATGACAACTATAACCAAGAAATGGCTGGGCATTGTGGCAGGCACCTGTAGTCCCAGCTACTTGGGAGGTTGAGGCAAGAGAATAGCTTAAGCCCAACAGTTACAGGCTGCTGTGAGCTGTGACACCATATCACTCTATCCAGGGGGACAGCTTGAGACTCTGTCTCAAAAATAAAAAAAAAGAAGAAAAAAGAAAGGGAGAGACTAGTTTAAGTTTTCCCACTGCAGAAAATAACCTAATATGCACCTTTGTGTCTCCCACGTTATCTTTGCAGTATGTGAGGTGAGAGGCACAGAGGTTAGGTAGCACTTTGCAAAGTCAACAGGCAGTTGCCCAGTTGAATGGTCCTAAGAGACCTGTCTCTGTTCCTGGTCAAGTCCTTTGCTGATGACTTTCTGAACTCACCCATTTTTTTTTTTTTTTTGAGACAGAGCCTCAAGCTGTCCCCCTGGGTAGAG